AAGCATGGACCGGAACGAAGCCGAACCTATACCGCCTACGCACCTTTGGGTGCCTTTGCTACTACCATGTACCGGATCCACTTCGCCACAAGTTGCAACCGAAAGCTCGTGCGGCGATCTACTTGGGGATTGCGGCGAACGAGCGTGCATGGCGAGTGTGGGATTTGGATGAAAAACGCGTCGTCACGTCTCGGGATGTGATCTTCGACGAAGACAAGTTCCCGACAAAGGAGAAACAAACGCCGCAACTCACCGTCGTCCTTTCCGCACGAGAGGAGGATGAAGCGGTGGAGGTTTCACCGCACGTGAAGAAGGGAGCCGAAAGTGGAGGGGGAGAGAACGAGGAGTGCGATGATGATGTCGAGGAGGTGCCACCAACCGAGGAGGCCACTTCCTCCGCACCTTCTTCCCTACCATTGGCGTTGACTCGCGGGCGTCGTACACCTCGCCCCAACACGAGGTTAACCGACTATGCTACGGTCGCCGTTGGGGAGTCGGATGAGGAGAGTGCGGCGATTTGCCTAGCGACCATCGGCGACGATAACCCACGCACTCACAAGGAGGCTTTGGCTTCCCCGGATGCACCACTATGGAAGCAAGCGATGGAGAGGGAGTTAGCATCGATCAAGGAGAACGATGTTTTCGAGCTCGTCGACCCGCCGAAGGGTGCCTACTTGGTGGGATGCAAGTGGGTGCTTAGGAAGAAATTGAGGTGATGGAGGTGTCGAACGCTACAAGGCGCGGCTTGTGGCGCAAGGGTACACTCAACGGGAGGGGGAGCACTATAGTGAGACCTTCGCTCCCGTTTCGAAGGCCTCCACTCTTCGGGTGTTGCTCGCGCTAGCGGCATCTCTCAACCTCGAGGTGGAACAATTGGACGTTTGCACCGCCTTCCTCTACGGGCTTCTCATGGAAGAAGTCTACATGCGGCAACCCCCGGGGTACGATGACGGTAGCGGTCGGGTGTGGAAGCTCAAGCGTACCCTCTATGGCTTGAAGCAAAGCCCACGCGGATGGTACAAGCGCATCGACGACTTTCTTCTTCAACATGGCTTCGCGCGTAGCGTGTGTGATAGCGCTTTGTACGTGTTGAAGGAGGGGGAGAAGCAATTGGTGCTTTTGCTCTACGTCGATGACCTCCTTCTTTTCTCCGACTCCAAAGACCTCATTCGAGAGGTCAAGCAACGGCTAGGGGCGGAGTTTGCCATGAGGGACTTGGGACCGGTGACGTACTACCTCGGGATGCACGTCGACCGCGACCGCGCGAACGGGACCATTCACCTCCACCAAGAAAAATATGTGAAAGGGGTTGTGGAGCGCTTCGGCATGGGTAATAGCAACCCGGTGGGGACGCCACTAGACACGGGATTTTCTTGCCTCCCGGGAGAGGAAGAATCCGCCCTCGACGAAGCCGAAGGGAAGCGGTTTCATTCGCTAGTCGGCTCACTCATGTATGCCGCCGTTTCCACCCGTCCCGACCTCTCATACGCCGCCGGGGTACTTGGACGAGCCGTAAGCAACCCTCATACCGAGCATGTGCGTGCGGGAGGACGTGTTCTACGCTACCTCCAAGGCACACCCAACTTGGGAATCGTATATGAAGCCGGTCCAATCGTGCTTAAGGGCTACACCGACTCGGATTATGCCGGTGATCAAAGCAAGCGCAAGAGTACCGGCGGGTACGTCTTCACCTTGCTTGGGGGAGCCGTGAGTTGGCAAAGCAAGTTGCAACCAACCGTGGCTCTAAGCACAACGGAAGCGGAGTATATGGCACTCACTCAAGGAGCCATGGAGGCAATATGGCTACGGCGCCTTCTAGCGGAGCTTGGGCATCCTCAAGCCGACCCAACTCCTCTCTTTTGTGACAACCAAGCGGCCATAAACCTCACTCACAATGCCGTCCTTCACGGGCGTACCAAGCACATTGAGGTGAAGCATCACTTCATTCGTGAGGTGGTCGAGAGAGGTGAGGTCAAGGTCACATACATAAACACCAAGGCGCAACCCGCGGATTTCCTCACTAAACCACTCCCTAAGGATTCATTCCGTGCATGCCGTGAGCGTGTTGGTATGAACACCTAGTGGCTTGGGTGCAAGGGGGAGTGTTGGAAGGAAACGGTGGTGGGGCGGTGGTATGCCCCCAACCCACCGAGGGCACTTCGGTGCCTTCGATCCCTTTGACTAGGGATCGGTGGGGTGGCACCGATTGACTTCGGGAGACTCACCCTTCGGTGCCACGTGGTGGCACCACATTCCAACCTTCAAGTGCAAGGCGAATTCGGTGTGTTCGGTGTGAAATTCGGTGGTCGAATTTCACCCCAACCGAAATGTTACACGCGGCGCATTCGCGACGCGAGTGTAGCGATGTGATGTTACATGTGCGGTTCGATGTAATGCATTTGCTATAAATCAACCTGCCTTGTATGCATGCTCTATACTGAAATCCTGAATCTTCTTGTACATGGTCCATTCGAACCAAAATTCCAGAGAGGTCTATCCTTGCTTCTAAGAGCACTAGCAATCACGTGAACGCCAATATCTCGGCGTATACTTGGGCGATTAACGTGTTTGACGGCTTGTTGGAAAGCCAAGACTGTGCTCTATCGTTTAGTGCAACTTAGAGTTCCTGCAAAGTAGAGGAGACGCCTCTACAACACTCGGTATGTGTCCTGGTTCATTTTACGCTTTCTACGGTATATTCGGACCTATCCCATGGTATCGGTAATAGTTTTTGTCCCTTGTTCCGCTTTGTGCTTGTTAGTTGGGTTTCCAAGTCAACGGCGGGAAGCGGTTTCGCTCATCCTTTAATCCTCTCTCCACTGCTTTTCTGTCCTATGCAGAGGGCGACACGTCAGCTCCTGGAGTTCCGACAACCACGTTTCTTATCCCCACCAACCGTGGCATTGTATTGGCGGGTTTAAACCCCAGTAATCTATGGGGTCTTATCACTGGCTCTAAAAAGGTCGGTGATATAGCCAAGGTAAATACAATCCCAGGTTCCTACAGCTATTCTACGTTCATGTCAACTCCAAAAGGTACAGGAATACAGACGATGCATTCTAAGAAGAAGATAGCAAGATATGAGGGGTCTGATGGGCTTGCAGGTTGGACGGGGACAGGGACGACTCTGGGTGTAGTTGGCTTGGGCAGACGTGCTGAGATTATAACCAAAGATGTGTATAAAGGACAGTGCGTTGTTGCACAAGGTGTCAGTAGAGTTCTTCAGCCAGAAAAGTGATAGGTACAGGGCGTTGTGCCTAACGTAATGGCGTTGCATCTTGCATGCACAAGCACCCCAAGTTAGTTGTGACAGATGAGTTCTGAAGCCCTGTGATGACCCACATACTACAATGTAAGGTGGTGATTGTAAGTAAAGCCCAATAGAGCCTCAAACTTTAGCCTATCATTCTTTCAAATACCTAGTACATGTGAAATAACGACGAGTTTCAATAATTTGTAACACGACTTTGGCGTAGGCGAGAGTCTGTCCATTCATTTCTCGTGTTCGCTGCTGCTGAATTCCTTCGCGACATTGCGGGTTTGATCTACACCACGAGCCGCCAGATTGCTTCCCTCCCTTTCTCCACTACCCTTGATTTCTCCGCTTTCCTTCCAACCTGCAAATCCCAAGGCTTGACCTTTTCTCAGTCCAGCTCCTAAGACCTGCGTCCAGCGTTTTCTATCAGCTACTATATTTTAGCGTAGCGTTTTTATGATCCCTAATTCCGGAAAACACGTAGTTTAAGTTACTGCGGTGTCGCTTTTAGGAACAATGGCATGATTGCTGTTTTCCTTTGGTGGTTGACCTTCATCTAGGACTGTCCTAAATGTAACGTATTACCCTAACTACCGAGCTAACAACCATCGATCTCTCTCTAAGTCAATTGTTGAGAACTTCTCTCGACAAAGGAAGAGTTGGAGAAGATGGTTGAGTTGGTTGGGATGAAACTTGGTTTGGGTTTGCCAAGCCTCAACTTTGGAGGTTTGGAACATTTCCAACTCAACCAAGAGAATGTTGAAGGTTGGAATTCCAACCAATCAGAAACTGCCAAACAAGTGTTACAATCTACTCTATCCTAAACACAACCATTGAATGGTTCTAAGTTGGGTTTTCCAACCCAACACAATTGCCACATAGGCTCCAAGCCTAGGAACCATCCCACCATGGAAACCATGGTTGGGATAGTTCCCCAAGGGGTGTATTGAGGGGGTCTGAGCTAAGCAAGCTCATTCTCAACCTCCCACTCCAACAAAACAATTGGAAATGGGGTTGTTTCTCTAAGTCCTTTTGGGCTCTCTCACAAGTCTCCCTACACTACTACTCCAAGTGCTTTTCATCAAAGGCATCAAGAAGATCTTCATCTCCAAGGCTATTAAGGCTAGTTAAAGCTACTATTTTATATTGGAATATTATAAAAGCCTTGTAACCGCCATTATAATAGCCCTGGGCATTACATTGGTATCTAGAGCAAGGTTCTTCCTTGGCCTTGTGTGACCATTTGTTGCTTGGACTATTTTTTTTTAGAGGATCCTAGCTTGTGGATCCAGGATTTCATCCAAGGAGCTATCAAGATCTTTGAAGATTTTGAAGAAATTTCAAGATCTACAAGTGGTTCTTCATAATCTACAAAAGCTTCTACAAGATCTCCAAGCTTCAAGCTTCAATCTCCTCAACACACCATTGGAGCTTCAAGATCTACAAGGAGCTCATTTTTCTTCATCAACATTGAGAAGAAATTTGAAGAGATTAATTTCTCTTACCCACCTTTGGTGGAAGACTCTTGATCTACTTTGTGTAGAAGAGTGTACCTTCAGATCTATAAAGGGCTTGTTGAGGATTACTCTCTTGAGTATATCTTGCTCTATCATTGAGGTGATAGAGAGATTTGGCAAACAAGTCTATCTTAAGAGATTCTGTATTGGATTATTCTATAAGAGTAATCAGATTTCTTAAAGATTATTATAAGATCTGTTGAGATCTCCTCTCCTTAACCTGTTTCATGGCTGCTGGTCAAGAGATGGATGCTACTAAGGAGGTGCCCGTTGTTGGCACTGAGGGAGATAATGCTGCTGCTGCTGCTGACATTGATCTCAACCTTGAGGATTTCGTGGTTGACATGGAGATCAATGGAAGTGAAGCTGACCTTGAGGCTGATGCTGAAAATGAGGAAGAGGCTGGCTCTGATGATGGTGTTTCCAATGAAACTGAGAACATTGCTGTCAAGCTCCAGACTCAACTCACGGAGCAGAATATTCTCATTGGAGTGCAACAGTGTCGTATCCAGAACTTGGAGGCTGATTCTGTTAAGCTTCAGGCCTTGATTGAGCAGCTGACCAGGGAGGTGCAGTTGATCCCTAAGGAAAACGACACCTCCAGCCTCATTCAGGACCTGCACAACACTCTTCAGTTCGTGCAGGATCAGCTCAAGAAGCAGGAGAAAAGCATCTCTGTGCTTCAGACCCAGTACAGGGAGATCCGGCGTGGAAACCTCTACCAGCCTGCTCCTGCAGCAGAGCGAGTCGCCAACGCCGCTAACAGCCGTGCTGCACCTGCTGATGCACCTCCTGCTGTTCCTCCTCCTACTGGAGCACGTGCTGAGCCTCCTACTGCAGCAGCAACTGCCTTTGGCTCCTGCCCTTCGGCCCTGCCTCGTTTTGTCCATGGCAAGACCGACGTCGAGACTTGGCTCTCCATTGCGGAGGACTTTATGTCCATCCACAATGTGCGTAGCGAGGCTCGTGTGGTCGCTGCAACCCTTGCCCTGGACGACACTGCGAGCAAGTTGGTGTATGCCAACAAGCGCCACGCAGAGGCTAATGGCCATCCTTTTGGCTGGGAGGAGTTCAAAGCTGCCATGCTGGCGGCATTCCTGAGCAGCCCCCGGCGCTCGAGGTGCATAGCCGCCTGGAGAACATCCAGTGCGGTGACCAGCCTGTACGCGAGTACGCCAAGGAGTTTGAGAAAACTCTGTCGCTGCTGAAGACTGCTCTTCCTGAGAGCGAGGTCATCCACCAGTTCTTCAAGGGTCTCCCTGAGCACATCAAGCGTGTGCATGTTGTGCGCGGGGAGCACCAGTGGAGGACCTACAAGGAGTGCAAGGAGCAGGTCATTGACACGGATGTGAATTTCCGTGCGTACATGACTCACGCTCGTGCTCAGCAGCAGCCTAGTGCCGAAGGCCCTAGGGGGGGTGGTAACAGGACTCAGACACACAGGGGCAGTGGCTCTTGGAAGAGGCCCTATCAGCAGAAGGGGGAATCCTCTGGGACTCAGTCCAAGAGGGCCCATGCTGGGCCTGCCAAGGATCCTCAGGATGAGGATAAGTCCCCGGCAGGCTGCCGCATCTGTGGCAAGCTCGGGCACAAGTCCTATCACTGCCGTTGGAGGAAGTCCGTCAAGAACTCCGGCAAGCCCAACCAGGGCAAGAAGCCGGATGGTTCTGGCCCTTCGGGCCCGAAGGATTTTCCGAAGTCCAACTAGGGGGTGGGTACCTAGTTGGTGAGCGAGATCGAGTAGATGAGGCTTATGTCCTTCGTGATGAGGATTTGCTAAAGCTAGAGAAGCTTGCATCATGCAAAATCGCTTGTTTGTATGCCTGTTCTATTAATGAAAAATCTGTTTTTAAAACTCGATCATACCCACTTGAAAACATCTCAATTGAATCCTTGAGAGATAAATTTTCAATCATCTCTTGCTCGTTCAACGAGTTGCCAACAATCATGGATATTGTGGACCGTTGTGTCCAAGAGCACCCGCTCACGTCAGTGGGATTGGTGACTCGAATCGTGAAAGGAGAGTTGTTCCGCCGATTTCACGAATGGCATATCCTGGCAACATGGGACAAGGGGCACCATGTTTGGTGGACCACATCCCAAAGGTTTGGACGCGCTCACAACAAATTTAGGGTGTACTTTCGAACCTCCTAAACTTGTTGTCGCTTGTCCCATCCGTCCAAGATTTCAACAGAATCTACTGTTATCTGGACGCATGAATGGGGACGAAGCAAGGATTCTCGTCGATACAGGCGCGTCGGTTTCCCTTGTTGATGAAACTTGGGTTACGACACGCAACGTCCTCGTTGTAGGACCGTCGTGTCCCATCCGCTTGGGTGACGATCGTGTCATTCCAAGTAAAGGACAGACACATATCGACATGAAAGTACAGGACTATAGCGAAACAGTTCGCGTATATGTCCTACCACTTTTGTCAGGAGTCGACCTCATCCTGGGCATGGATTGGTTGAGAGCCAACGAAGTTATTCTGGACTTCCAGTACAACATTGTCTCGTTCAACAAGAACGGAAAGGCAATCCAGTGGCAAGTCAATGATACTTTGCCCACTGAAACACAGCCGCCTGAACGTCCCAGCGCGCTGTGTGTGTTGGCCAACCAATTCGGGCATTCTGTTAATTCGGCTGATACACTATTCGTGGTACAGCTTGAGAATGTCGAGGCCTCGGAGCCAGCAATTGAGGATTTCCCTCCTCAAATGAAAATACTGGCAGAGGAATTCAAGGAAGTGTTTGAAACCATCCCTGATGGACTTCCGCCTGACCGCGCAGTGGGTCACACCATCCCTGTTGAACCAGGAAAGGTTCCACCCTTTCGACCTCTGTATCGCCTCAGTCCAGCTGAGTACGAAGAGGCCAAACAACAGATCGAGGAATACCTCAGAAAAAGATGGATTGAACCCAGTGCATCCCCTTACGGAGCACCAATTTTGTTCGTTAACAAGAAGGGTGGAGGATTACGCATGTGCGTAGATTATCGTGCCTTGAACAAGATTACGGTGAAGAACAGATACCCTCTACCACGAATTGAGGATCTGTTCGATCGGCTACATGGAGCTCAGTGGTTCAGTGCGCTGGACTTAGCTCAGGGGTATCATCAGCTACGAATCACCGAAGAAGATGTTCCAAAAACGGCTTTCAGAACGCCGTTCGGGCATTTTCAGTGGCGTGTGTTAAGTTTTGGCTTGACAAATGCTCCCGCGTCATTTCAGCGAGCAATGAATGATGTGTTTCGGGAGGCAATCGGCCAATTCGTCCTGGTATACTTGGATGACATCCTCGTGTACTCGAAGACCGAAGAAGAACACACGCAACACCTGAAATGGGTGTTAGGAAAACTGCGAGAGCATAAATTCTTTGCTCGATTGTGGAAGTGTCACTTCTACAAACGCGAGTTGGAATACCTTGGTCACTTGGTAGGCAACGATGGCCTCAAAGTTGATCCAAAGAAAGTGGCGGCAGTCCAACAGTGGCCCGTTCCACAGGACGTGGGACAGGTCAGATCATTTCTTGGACTTGCGAACTATTTTCGCCGTTTCTTGGAAAATTATTCCTCCGTAGTCGCCCCACTGACTGCCCTCACTCGTAAGGGTAATGCTTGGCAGTGGACCGATCAATGCCAGAAGGCATTTGAGGAGGTGAAAACCATGCTGACCAATGCTCCAGTGCTGGCTTTGCCAGACCCGTCCAAGCCCTACGAGGTGGTAACTGATGCCTCGACAGTAGGGATTGGAGCAGTTCTTTTGCAAGAAGGACGCCCCGTGGCATTTGAGAGTAGAAAGCTTTCACCGGCTGAGCAGCGCTATACAACTTCCGAACAAGAATTGTTGGCGGTTGTGCATGCGCTACGAACATGGAGATGTTATCTCGAAGGTGTTGACTTTGTGGTCACGACCGACCACTGTCCGAACACCTATTTTGCCACTCAAGCCACACTCACCCGCCGTCAAGCTCGATGGGCTGAACTCCTGAGTGGGTTCACCTACGATATTCGATATCGAGCGGGCTCGACGAACATGGCTGATCCTCTGAGCAGACAACCGATTGGGGCAGCAACGAGTGTTGATGATAAGGAACATGAAGCTGTGTTTGCTGCTTGTTTCAACATCCTCGCAGTTGCTCGAGTGAGCGAGATTGCCTTTGGTGGTTTTCTGAAACGCATCCGCGCAGGGTATGTTATTGACCCTTGGTTTCAGAACCCACAGAATACAAACAATCTCTTGTGGGAGCATGAGCTCTGGTGGCACGAGAAAGAAATTGTAGTCCCACATGTGGGAAACCTGCGGAATGATATTCTCGCAGAGGTGCACGCCACTAAGTATGGAGGACACCTGGGTGTCAAGAAAACCCGGTGGGCCCTCAGTGATGTATACTGGTGGCCGGGATTGGGCATTGAGGTCCAGCAGTTTGTAACTCGCTGTGACACGTGTGCACGGAACAAGCCGAGCACACAGAAGCCTGGTGGTCTGCTTCAACCACTTGAGATTCCCGATGAACCTTGGGAGAGTGTATCGATGGATTTTATCACCGATCTCCCCAAGACGCGAGATGGTCATACAGCGATACTAGTGTTTGTGGATCGCTTGACCAAAATGGTGCACTTCGTGCCCACGACGACTGACGTGTCTGCGGAAGATACGGCAAAGTTGTTTGTGACACACGTTTTCCGCTTACACGGTTTGCCTCGTGTGATGGTGTCTGACCGAGACCCGCGCTTCACAAGCCGGTTCTGGCAAGAGGTCATTAAGACACTCGGAACGAAACTCAAGATGTCGTCTGCGTTCCACCCGCAAACGGATGGACAGACAGAGCGGACCAACCGCACTCTTGAGCAAATGCTTCGTTCTTTCATAAGCCCAACTCAGGACGATTGGGATGAATTGTTGCCAGTCGTGGAATTCGCTGTAAACAATTCTGTGCATGAAAGCACCCATGAGAAACCCTTTGTCCTGAACTTGTCAGAATATTATGCTCTAGCCTGTAGTGGGGTGCTCTATAGCGAGTACAACTCTTCTAGGGTTTTGCTATTTGTATCCCCATTCTTGCTAGTGCATCCCCCTTCTTCCTTCTAAATTTTAACATGCTATCAGAGCAGGTCGATCCCCTTGGATCGATCCTGTGGGTGGGCTCACCACCTTGTTGCTTCCGCTGCAACTGCTACTGCTACTCTCTGTGCCGCACGCCCTGTGGCGTGCGGCAGTTTTTTCTTCCCGCCGTGCGCCCCGAGGCGCGCGGCGGTTTTCTGCCCGCCGTGCGCCCCGAGGCGCGCGGCGGTTTTCTGCCCGCCGTGCGCCCCGAGGCGCGCGGCGGTTTTCTGCCCGCCGTGCGCCCCGAGGCGCGCGACGGGTTTCTGCCCCGTCACTCGCCGCGTCGCCCCCGGGAGGCGCTGCGACGGGCGACGGGGACCCGCACGTCGCCCCGTCGCGCGGCCCCTGCAGCCCCGTCGCGCCGCCTAGGGGAGCCGCGCGCGGCCCCTGCTGCCCCGTCGCGCGGCCCTGCTGCCCCGTCGCGCTGCCCAGGGGAGCCTTGCGCGGCCCCTGCTGCCCCGCCCCGTCCCGGACCTGCCCCGGCCCCGACCTGCCCCGGCCCAACTCCCGTCGCCTGTCGAGGCGACCCTGGGGGGGGCCGAGTCTACAGGGGGCCGCGCGTTGCCCCCCCCCCCCCTACCTCCCTACCCTGTTTTTAGGGTTTGGGGGGTGGCGGTTGGGGGGTGGCGGTTGGGGGGTGGCGGGTGTGTGGCGTCGCCTGCTCCTCCTCCTCCTTCGTCTCCCACTGCTGCAGCTGTCGCTGAGGGGGGTGGATGTGTGGGAGTGTACGGAGTGGTGCTAGGGGGGTGGAGTGTGAGTAGAGCTAGGGTTTGAACAGGGGGTGTGTGAAATGGGGGTGGGACAGTTGGGGGAGGTTGAATGGAGGCGGTCGTCGTGTCGTCAGCAGCAGCAGCAGTCCGGAGGCTACAATCTCCGGTAGTCGCCAGTCGCCCGTGGGTCCGTTGCTCGTCTGCCGCTACTTTTAGCCGCGGGGCCAATTACCCCAGTAGTCCGGAGCGCTGTTCCGGTAGCCACTGAGCCAGCAGCTCGTCTGTGTGTCTGCAGCGTCAGCAGTCGCCTCCCATCTTCTCTCCCCCACAGTCTCTCCTCCTCCTCACTTGCCCTCTGTGATAGCCTCTAGCTTTGCTTACATTTGTTAACTATAAAACTGCTACCTCTTGTACTTGTGCTCAGAATGTGTGGTGACATTGTGATCCACCCTGAGCTTGTTTTCTTTTGCTTGCTCTGCTGATTACACCCCACTTTGGCTATGGGGGTGTGTCAGAATATTATGCTCTAGCCTGTAGTGGGGTGCTCTATAGCGAGTACAACTCTTCTAGGGTTTTGCTATTTGTATCCCCATTCTTGCTAGTGCATCCCCCTTCTTCCTTCTAAATTTTAACAGAACTGTGGTCGGCACCCCACAACCCCCGCGACGCATGGGATTAAGAACCTCAAAATCCCTGCCGCAAAGGACTTTATTGGAAATCAGCAAGCGGCATTGAAGTCCGCTCGCCATTGGCTGCAGCTTGCCCAACAGAGGCAAAAATCCTATGCCGACATGAAACGCCGGGAAGTCGTTTTTGCAGTTGGCGACAAAGTATTACTGAGTACGAAGAACATTCGTCTCAAGATCCCGGGAGCACAAAAGCTTTTCCCTCGTTGGATTGGGCCCTTCGAGGTGATTACGCGTGTTGGTGAGGTCGCATATAGGCTCAAATTGCCTGCGACATTGCAGATTCACAACGTCTTCCACGTGTCTCTGTTGAATAAGTACGTTGCAGAAGGCAAGTACTTACCGCCACCAACCATCGCTCTCGAGAAGGAACTCTTTTACGAAGTCGAGCGTGTGCTAACGCACCGTGATCGACAACGCGGCCGCAAAACTGTTCGTGAGTTCCTAATTCAGTGGAAAGGCTATGGGCCGGAACACAACTCTTGGGAGCCTGAGGAACACTTGACCGAAGCAGCGGTTCAAGCGTATATGGAAGACCTGGCTCTACGAGCAGGCCCACAACCAGTGGACGGGGTTGACCCTGGTCGTAATGTGGTGCGCCGTGCTCGAAGCACTCGTCCTCAGAAGCACCCTAGGGCAACGGGGACGTTGCCACCTGGGGGGGGAGGAGTGTAACGTATTACCCTAACTACCGAGCTAACAACCATCGATCTCTCTCTAAGTCAATTGTTGAGAACTTCTCTCGACAAAGGAAGAGTTGGAGAAGATGGTTGAGTTGGTTGGGATGAAACTTGGTTTGGGTTTGCCAAGCCTCAACTTTGGAGGTTTGGAACATTTCCAACTCAACCAAGAGAATGTTGAAGGTTGGAATTCCAACCAATCAGAAACTGCCAAACAAGTGTTACAATCTACTCTATCCTAAACACAACCATTGAATGGTTCTAAGTTGGGTTTTCCAACCCAACACAATTGCCACATAGGCTCCAAGCCTAGGAACCATCCCACCATGGAAACCATGGTTGGGATAGTTCCCCAAGGGGTGTATTGAGGGGGTCTGAGCTAAGCAAGCTCATTCTCAACCTCCCACTCCAACAAAACAATTGGAAATGGGGTTGTTTCTCTAAGTCCTTTTGGGCTCTCTCACAAGTCTCCCTACACTACTACTCCAAGTGCTTTTCATCAAAGGCATCAAGAAGATCTTCATCTCCAAGGCTATTAAGGCTAGTTAAAGCTACTATTTTGTATTGGAATATTATAAAAGCCTTGTAACCGCCATTATAATAGCCCTGGGCATTACACTAAATTATCGCGCTCAGCGCTCGCGGCTCGCAGCTGTTTTTTAGTAGGGCTCGAACGGTTGCATACGGATAGATGTCGCTTTTGCGATTCTCTCGACACTCCTACTTCTACCCTACCCCTTACTAGTCTCGCACATTCCGCTTACTCTCTGGGATGGTACTAGCCCTGTACTTAGCCCTAGCTCCTACGTTCCGGCCCACCAGCAACTGCACGCCTCCTCCCCTCCAGTCAATACGCAACAGTGGCCGCACACGCAGCAGCAGCAGCGCGCGCATCACTGCAGCAGCTCGCAGTGCTGCAGCAGCTCGGCGCATAGGCAGCCGTGCACTTTGCTGCAGCAGCGCGCATTACTGCAGCAGCTCGCATAGGCAGCCGTGCACTTTGCTGCAGCAGCGCGCAGTGCTGCAGCATGCCTTAGGCAGCACGCTTTGCTACAGCAGCCCATGTAGGCAGCGCGCATTGCTGCAGCAGCTCGCGCACACACAGCTGCCAACCGCCAGCAACTGCTCATAACCTCCCACAGCCGCCCACAGCACCCTCCCAGCCGCCATAGCGCACACTCCTGCCACTGCAACAGCGTACTTTACCTGCCTACGCTCCGTCCTTGCAGACACGAGCCGTGCCCATTGAGTTTTGAGACGTGTCAAAACACACTCCTGCCACTGCAACAACGCACCTTACCTGTCTACGCTCCGTCCTTGCAGCCACCAGCGGTGCCCATTGTCTCCAACACACGCCTACTACCGATCACCACAGACTGTTACAGCCCGATACCTAACGTCCGCATTCATCCCCCTCTCGCGATGTCTCCTGCGTCAATCCCTAGTCACCAGCCCACGTCCTCGGTATTAGCAGACCTGGAACTCGCGGGAAGAGTTCAGCAGATGACAGCCAGCGTGGCGGACCAGATTGTGAAGGACTCGGCGAATCGCGCGAGCTACGCGGAAACGCGACTAATTGTTCTGGAGAAAACGCTGGGGTCCGTGAAGGACCAAGCAGCTTCGATGCTGGAGAGAATGCAGCTTAAAGCGGACGTTAAGGTGAGATATCTCGTATAATGTTTCCTGGTGCGTTAAACCAATTGTTTGAAACAAACGCCGGGGTCTGAAGGAGCGAGCACCGTCGATGCAGTTTAAAGCAGACGCTGAGGTGAGAGATTTCAATGGTACTAGCCATCAATGTTAGTATTTTGGTGCAACAAAACACGTCTACAATTCGGTTCATTTATTTATTACCTCCAGAAGTGTGACTGATTTATTTGGTTCACTATTGTCAGAATGGAACTAGGATTGTTGCTTGAGGATCGGATTGCGAGTTAGAAACACGTCCTATTGCAAAACATTTCTTTGCAACGGGTTGTGAGCTTGAAACGCAGTCTGTCAATGTGACATGAGCGTGAAGCATCAGGGCCCATTTTGACTATCCTCAAAAGTGACACGAGCATAGATCATCCGGGTCCTGCTGTAGGTGCGGCGAAGCATGACCAGCTAATTTGGAGTCTTGTTGTACACTTCCCCAAAATGCTCTTGACGCAAAGCAGTGAGGCATGATCAGTTGAATTGGAGCCACTTTTATGAATCACCAAGAATGCTCTTGGCGCAAAGCAGTGAAGCATGAGTACATGGTGCAGCTATCTTGTAGCTAGCGTATGCATGTGAAACTTGTTGTTTTGTCCTCCTCCTTTTTATGCACTAAACAGGAGGAGGAGAAGCTGTTTAAAGTGATGTCGAAGCAAACATTTCACAACAGAGCACCCGCCTCACTTTGCCCAACCCCCAAACCCCCCCCCCCCCCTCCTCCCTACCCAATCTCTCTTTCCTTCCCAACATTTTGGTGACATCAGACCAAGCAGCTTCAGCAGGAACTGGTGGAGAGAAAGACGCAGGCAGAGGAGCTAGAGGCCAGATTGGCTGCTCCCCCCCTTCCCCTGCACTTCCCAAAATGGATCTCTCTTTGCCCTTCTTTCCTCCCCAACAATTTCCTGTCATCAGACCAAGCAGCTGCAGCAGGAGCTGGTGGAGAAGAAGAAGCAGGCAGAGGAGCTAGAGTCTATAGTTGAGGCGCCTCAAAAATAAATTCCAAACTGGATTTCCCTTTGCTCCCTTCCTCTCCAACATTTCCCTGACAACAGACCAAGCAGCTGCAGCAGGAGCTGGAGGAGAAAAAGAAGCAGACAGAGGAGCTAGAGGCCAGACTGAAGACTCTCGAAGCACAGAACGCAGCAGCAGCAGCATCTGGAGGCGTTACTACTACCCTTCCTCTTACCACCGCCACCACCACCGCGGCTGCCACTGTTGCTTCGGCGATCCCCATCACTTCACTTTCCACCCGTCCTGCTCCATCACCAATCAAGCTGCTTCACTCCTCCAGCTTCGGAGCGTCAGGCAAGTCTGGCTTGGCCCTACGCCTCCCTTCCTTCTACTCCCTCGGAGCCCCGCTTTCCCCAACCGGACGGGGAGGATCGACGCTTTGCTCGGGGGCCAGTAGGATCGGGGCGGGGGTTTCAGGTTCAGCAGGGGGAGGAGGGGCCATGGGTGGGAGTATAGGGAGAGGGCACAAGATGGTTATACATAATAATAGCCTCAAAGTATCAACTGACATGGCATCCTCTAACGTCTCTTCTCCCATGCTGGGTCAGGGCATAAGAGACGGACATGTGACAGGAAGAGGGGCGGGTTATGGGATGGGTCATGGGATGGGAGGGCCTGGCATGGGTAACATGGGTCCTATGGGTCCTCCTGGGTTGGTTTCTGGGCCGGGCCCTGCAGGTAGGGGAGGGAACAGCAGCGGTGGTGCATTGGCGGCGTTAGGGTTTGGTCGGGGGGGGATCACTCCTGCGGTGGCTGCTCTCTCCGGAATGCCGACCACTCCTGCTGATCCGTGTGAGGCGTTTCCAAGCAGTCGCAGCGATGGCAATGCGAGCGGCGGCGGTGGGTTTGGTGGAGATGCTTCGACGCGGGTTGCTCTCTTCACGTCTCAGGACGACGGCTGGGCGGGCAGAAACGGATCTGTGCCATACGGTGCTGGTTCCGGTGCTGGTGCTGGCGGTGCTGGTGGTGGTGAGGCCTGGCTGGGAGATGGAGCAGTGACAGTGCCTGTGGAAGCTATAGACAACACCACGTACCTCACCTGGGCTGCTCAACGCCAGCACACTCGCAGCTACAGCCTTCATCTCGTAGGCAGCGGCGTGCCTCCACCTCCTCCCTCTCCCCTTCCTCCTCTTCTCCCACCCCCTCTTCCCCCTCCTCCTCTTCCTTCTCCGCCTCCTCTGCAATTCCAACCCACGCTTGTTGGAGATTTTCCTTCTGCTGGTGCTGCTGCTGCTTCTGCTGCTGCTGCTGCTGCCGTTTCTGGCGTTCGGGCAGCAGCAGTGGCTGCAGGCGCGAGGGTTCTAGGCTCCTCCGGAAACCTTCTTCCCGGGGGTAGATCCGGCCCCTCATCCCCTGCTGTGATTCCCCACCCCCGCGCGCTTGGCTTCGTGACTGTTGACGAAGCCCCTCTAGAGGCCTTTGACACTGCTCCCCAGCAGGTAACACCAGTTCAAAATCTGGTTCCTCCCCACCCTCGCGCGCTTGGCTTTGAAGCTGCTGAAGACGCCACTCGGAAAACACTGGAACAGTCGTTTCAGAGGGACACAATGACCCAAAGTGACGCCTTTCAAAGAGATGCGCTTCAAGGAGTAGGGGAGGGTTATGCGAGGGAAACGGCGTTTGGATCCGAAGTGGTTTTTGATGGGCAAACAGCGTCTCAGACGGGGGTTTTTCAAAGGGAGGGTCCTCACCCTCGCTTGCTTGGTTCTGTGCTTGTAGCTGATGCTTCGCTGACGGCAGCAGGGAGTGGGGAGGGGGATGCTGGCTGGTACGGTGCGGCAGCAGCAGCGTCGGCAACAGGGTCGGCATTAGCTTCGGGGTCAGCAGTGCCAGCTGGCATCCCAGGCTCTTCTCCAATAGCAGTATGGCACAGCAGCGGTAGCCGTTTACCCAGTGGCGCGGCTGCTGCTGCTGCTGCAGTAGAGGCAGAAATAGGAGTGGTACGGGCATCTGTGGTTTCACAAGGTAGAGAAGGAATGGGTGCTGTGGCAGGAGATAATGGAGCTGCTGTGCTGAAGGCAAGGGCAGTTGAAGCAGCAGGCGAAGCAGGAGCAGGAGACGCAGGAATAGTGGGAGGAGCAGGAGGAGTGGGAGCACCATTGATGGTACCAGCGGCAGCCGCAGCAGCAGCAGAAACAGCAGCAGGGCGGGTCTCAGGGCCAGAAACGACCTTGGATGCTGGTCCTCCTACTGGGAGTACTGCTGCTGTTGCCAATGGCACTACTGCTTCTACCATTGGTGAGGCTTCTGCTGCTTCTGCTGCTACTGCTGCTGCTGCTGCTGCTGCTGCTGCTGCTGCTGCTGCTGCTGCTGCTGCTGCTGCTGGTGCAGCTGGTGCTTTTGCGAATGGTAACACAGATCCTGCTGGTGCTGCTGCTGGGAGTGCTGTTAAAGCGCCAAAAAAAACCCCGATGAAATCAAACCAAGCAAAAACACAAGCCGTTTCAGTTGAGGGCAAGGGCGTGAAAGAGGGGAAGAAGGGAGGTTCAGGTGAAGCAGGACAGGGTGCGGACGACAGAGGGGAGGAGGATGGGGAGGGGAACGAGATGGATCCCGCAGAACTGCTGCTTGTGGCAGCTGCAGTGCAGGGTTTGGCTGGTAGGGTGGAGAACGGAGGGGGAGGAGGGGTGGAAGGGGGGGGCAGAATGGAGGAGGAAGGAGAAGGTGAGCCTGGGGAGGTCAGTGAGGTGGAGAGTGAGGGGGATGATGGGGAGGAGGAGGAGCAGAAGGAGGAGGAGGAAGACGAGGAGGTGGAGGAGGGAAAAGAGGAAGAGGAGGAGGACGAGGAGGATGAAGAGGAGGAAGAGGAGGATAGAGAAGTGGGGGACGAGGAGGGAGAGGAGGATGGACATGTGGGTTATGGGGACAGTGAGGAGGAGGGAGAAGCAGTGGAGGGGTTGGAGGGAGAGGAGAGAGAAGAGGAGAAAGACGAGGGAGAGGAGGAAATAGAGGAGGGAGAGGAGGAGAGAGAGGAGGGAGAGGAGGGAGAGGAGGAGAGAGAAGAGGGAGGGGGACCAGAATCCGCGGCAGAGGAGGAGAAGCAAGGTGGTGAGCTGCTGGAACTGCTACTGAAGGGTGTTGCTGAGATAAGCAAACAGGAGAAGGAGAAGAAGGAGGAGGAGAAGGAGGAAAGGCACGACAAGGAGGCAGGGAAGGAGGAGGAGGGGGAAAAGGAGGAGAAGCAGGGGAAGCAAGCTAGGTGGCGACACCAGAGAAGGAAGCAGAGAAGCTCAGCAGTAGCGAGACCAGAAGCTGACACGACAGCTGCAGCAGTAGAATCCAGTGCAGCAGAAGCGAGAGCAGTAGAAGCGAGAGGCTCAAAATGGCAAACAGCAGAAGCTGGAGCAGCAGTGGCAGCATCGGCTGGAGCAGCCCACAAGAGCAGTGAGGAGAGAGGAGGTGTGGTGGAGGCAGGGGGCAGGGCAGTCAGGAAACAACCTGTGAAGCAGCCTTTGAAGCGGCCTGTGAAGCGGAAACGGACAGATTTGGTGGGGGACATAGGCAACAGTGAGCCGGAGGATTTTCAGACGTCCAAAGCAGGACGTATTTCAGCAAAGCGAGCTTCCAGCCCCTTAAGAGGTCAGGGTGATGGTGATGCTGGTTACCACACTGGTGGTGGTGGTGGTAACCCTATCCCGAAGGCCAAGCGCCCAGGCCAAGGCAGGGAAAAGCAAACAGGAGTGGAAGGAGTGGAAGCGATGGTAGTAAAAGAAAAAGTTAAGAAGGGGAAGGCAGCCGAGGGGGGGATTACTGCTCGAACGTCAATTCAGAAGTCAGCGGGAGGAGCAACAGAAGTAGCACTTACAGGGAACAAGGCATCAGGAGCAGCAGGTGGAGCAGAGGCAGCAGTGCCAGCAGCGCGAGTGCTGGGAGGCCAAGTCAGCCAAGTCAACCCGGTCAAGCCAGTCAACCAGAGAGGGGGTTTGAGGGAAGGGGGTCTGTTTGGGGCTGGACAGGGGGACGTTGGGGGTGGCAGGGGTTACGGGGGGCGGAGGGCAGGGGCAGGGATTGACCGGGTCAAGGCAGGAAGGGGGAGGGGAAGGGGAAAAGGGACGGGTGGTGATGAGGGTGGTGGTGGTGTTGATGGTGCTGTTGCTGCTGTCGCTGGTGCTGCTGAGGTGGCGAGTCCAAAAAGGAAGGGTAAGGCTTCTGCTGTGACAAAATCAAAGGGGAAAGAACTAGAAGCCGTGGGTACTTCAAGAGGAAATCCAAGAGGTAAGGTTATGGCTGTTGGTTTCAAAAAGAGGAGGGATGGTATGGTCTCAAAGGAGACTGGAATGCAGGAGGATGAAGAGGGAGAGACGAAGGAGCCGAGGGGTGTTGAGGCGCCTCGAAAAACACAGGAGGAAGAGGAGAGGGAGGCTATGGTTTTGAGGATTTTGCGTGGTCAGGGAAGCATCAAAGGGAAAGGGAGTGTGGCGAAGCGACCGGTGAGTGTGGCGAGTATGGAAAAGAATGCAGCGAAGGGGGAAAAGAGTGCTATTGGGAAGAAACGAGGCAGAGGCAGTGATGGCGATGGAGAAGAGGAGGTAAAGGAGGGCCCAGGTGGGAAGGAGAAGGAAATAGATGCGGAGATGCCAGGGGAGGAAATGGAGGAAGGGGAGGAGAGGGAGGATGGGGAGGAAACAGAGGAAAGGGAGGAAGGGGAGGAAAGGGAGGAAGTGGAGGAAAAGGGGAAACGGGAGCCTGAAGGGGTTACCAATAAGGAAAGTGTCCAGAAGGAAGTCGGAGAAAGTGGGATACAGCAGCTGGGGCAAGGGTCAGGGCTACAGGCAGGGCTAAGGAAGGGGCACGTGGAGGGGCACGAGGAGGGGCATGTGGAGGAGCATGTTGCAGGGCATAGGGAAGGGGATAGGCCTTCAGCAAAGAGGTGGAGAGCAGTGGGAGGAGAAGGAATAGGAGGGGACGCGGCGAGAGAAGCTGGGTCTGGGGCAATGGACGTTGTTTCAGGATTTGTTGTGGAAGGGGAGAGGACGATGACCAATGCAGTGGGGAAGGGGGAGGGAAAGGAGAGAGAGCAGGGGAGAAGGGAGGGAGACGAAAAGAAGAAGGCACATGCAATAGCAAGAGAAAGAGATGCACCGAGTGAAGAGCACACAGTGAGTGAAGAAAACCCAGCGAGTTTGACTACCCTTACTGCTGTTATCAGGGTGAACACTGGCAGAGCAGAAGGAACAGGGGCTCGGGTAGGGGAAGGGGCTGGGACAGGGGCAGGGGGGGTTGCGGGGGCAGGGGTGGGGGCTGGGGCTGGGGCATGGGCAGGGGCAGGGGCAGAGGCAGAGGCAGAGGCAGGAGCAGGGACAGGAGCAGGGACAGGAGCAGGGACAGGAGCAGGGGAGAAGGAAAAATGTTCTGTAGCAGATACAAGGGAGGTAGTTAAGGAAGGAGGGGGGAAGGGAGGAGGAAGAGAGCATCCTAGCAGTGAGAGCCGTGCAGAGAAGCGTGATGACTGCAAGGAGTTGAAGGGAGTGGCAGGAGGAAAGAATTCTGTTCAAGGTGAGGTGGGGGGTGCAGAGGGGCAAGCAGATGGGCATGTGGATGGGGAAGGGGATGGGCATAGGGATGGGAATAGAGATAGGCATGTGGATGGGCATGGGGATGGGCGAAAACTAGAGGAAGAGCATGATTGGGAGGAGGAGGAGGATGAGGATCATGGTTGGGGGTACGAGGAGGTGGAGGAAGAGGAGGAGGAAGGAGATGAAGAAAAGGACGAGGAGAACCATGAAGGGGAGGATGATGGTGATGAGGTGATGATCGTGGGAGATGGAGATAGGACGGTGGGGCAGGAAACAGCAAGGATGGTGCGGCAGGAAGCAGGGAGCGTGGCAGTACGAGAAGAGGCAGAGACTGGGCTTATGGCACTCGGGCAGATGGGAAAGTTCCGCGTGAATTCCGTTGCTGCTGCTGCTGCTGTTGCTGGTGGTGGTGTTGCTGGTGGTGGTTCTGCTGCCGCAGCTGGGAAGGAATCTATGAGTTCTGCTAGTGCTGCTGCTGGTGATGGTGCGATGCTGGTCAGAATTCCCGCTAGCAAGAGTACGGGTGGAGAGAGCCAGAGGGGAGTTCGAGGGGGAAGCAGTGTGAGGGGGGTGAGTAGGGGTCGAGGACGGGGGGCTGGTGGGTCTGACCGCGGGGCCAGGGGAGGAGGCGGACTGACGGGGAGAGGAGGGAGAGGGGAGAGAGGGGGCCGAGTTGGGGGGGGAGGCGGCAGAAGAGGCAAGGGAGTGATTACTGGTGTAGGGATCGAGGCTGTGAGTGACTCGGGTGAGTTGGGAAACGGTGGGGAAGCGGGGGACGGAGCGGGAAGGAGGGCAGCAACTGAAGGAGGGGCAGGGGTGGGAGCGTCAGGAGGAGCAAGGGCAGCGGATGGGGTAGGGAGCAAGGAAGGGGGCGGGCATTCAGGAGGGGAGAAGGCAGCTGGTGAGAGTGGTGGTGCTACGGGAGGAGCAGGGCAGGAGGCAGGGATAGGCACCCGGCACAGCCAACGGCTCGGAGGCAGGCAGGTGGGCTTTGAGGAATGGGTGGGACTGCTGTGGTTCCGAAGAAATCATCGCAATGTGCTATCTGATGTACCGCTCTGTTCTCTCTCATTTGTTCCTTTCCTGCTCTGTTCTGTTTTTTCCTTTAATCTCGTGTCCCAATCTCCATCCTGCTGTGCTGGACTGTTACGCATTCCAGGTTTCAGGCAGGTGGAGCCGGAAGTATGATGGTTGACTTTGACTTCGTTAAAAACCACACGAGTGGTTTATGAGTTAGTGTGTTATTTGTTATGCATTGAGCACGATCTACAATCCTAGGAATCCTTGTGTGGGCCAATAAGCTGGTAAAATCTGGTGAAGCAAGCAACGTATGGAAGCTATCATGCACATGGGTTGGTCAGAAGATAATATAGGTAAATTTGTTTTTAGGGATTTTACGCACAAATCCCACTTAAAACCAATAGACGAAATGAAGGTCTTTCTAAAAGCGGGGTAAGTTGTGTTGAATGGTCCTATCAGTCACCATCACAGGAAATCTCATTGTAAAGGTAGGTCAGCAGATTTCGTTCCTGGCCTTCCAATCAACACGGCGGTGCAGTCACAGCGTCGCGACTCGCGTCCTGTGCCGTGATGATGGCTGGATTCTTGAGGGGGATTGGTCGTCACTTCTCACAACTAAGTGCACACTCCTTCGCGAACAGCATCAAATGTATTCTGTTCAGACAGACCAGAAATTTCAAATGGAAAAGATAGGACAACGCCGTTGACTGGCAAGTGTGCTGGCAAAGGTTGGGTTGGGGTTGGGGCGTGTTCCTTCCAGCGCTGTGTCAGCCTTGGAAATTGGGAGAGCCGGAAACGGATAGCGCGAACGGCGGACTGGCTTGAAACAGCCCGAATTCACGATTGGACAACGAGACGACGGACGACAACGACTAGCCAATGGAGCACCGGCATTACGTGGGCACAGCAGCACACAAGAAAGTGAGCGGGAGGCTGCCCAGAATGTCCAACTTTTTCGGATATGACGTCACGTCGGTCCGTCAGTGAACGGACCATCTGTCACCCAGCCTTCGAAACCGCCCCACTCCCGTTTCCGTTTCCCATCACCCTTCCCAGCCCAGTCCGTCAAATCTGGTTTGACGGCGCATGTTCAGCATTTCCTGTTATCCCCCCCCCCCCCCCCCTCCCCCCCACTTCCATGTGTCATTTCTTTGTGCTGCCCTGATTCCCCACTGCCCCCAGCCTAACGCCTACATTTACCCGCCGGCCGACCATTGTGTAGTTATCCTCTTGCCGTTTCACGTTTCTTTTCTCCCCTCCTCTTTTTTCCCCTCCCCGTCCCCAGATTTCTGCTCGCCACCGAAATTCCCCGCCACCCACCCACCTCACGGATCCTCCCCTCCCTTCCCAGCAGCACTCCGCTTCGCGTTCTTCGATCTCCACTTTTCGCAACGCGTCGCGTGTTCGCGTGACATTTAATCAAGTAAATGACGGACCGCCGTGTTTACGCATTTTTATTTCCTTTTAGAAGTGGCTTTGACAGCGACTCCCTTTGCGCTCGCGCCCAATTCCCCCCAGGTAGTTTTTATTGCCATTTTCCCTTTTTCTTGACCAGACGTATAGAAGGGAAAAATACTATGTCTATCTGGTTTCAGTATAGAGGTCAGTGGAAAAACTAAAATCCACTCGGATGACAAGCCATTTGGGAGGCATCAGCCCTAAACACCTTGCCTTACGGTGTTTATGGTTGATGCCCTTATAATACGTGGCATACCATCCATGAGGGTTTTTTTTTTTTGTCCCGAGCTGCGCATTTGCTATGGACTCCACGAATAAATTTGAAATATATCGTAACATAGAAACAATCTGTGAAAGACGGCGGTTTCTTCTTCAAGGATGAGAAGCTGCTAACAAAGGAGCTGGGCACGCGCAAGAAAGCAAGGAGGGCGCTCAGGGCTTTTGCGTGCGTCCCGTCCGCTTGGAAGGCGAAATTGATGGCGCCAATCACGGGGGAAGAGTTCCTAGCGGAGTCGGCCTTCGTGAAGAAGAAGGGCCTGGCGAGTGCCTGGAAGGCGGAGAAAGTGGTGCAGGATGGCCTTGCCTGCCGAGCGTGTGACTGGTTTGGCGTGCCCCTGGTGGGGGTGGCGGAGACAACTGCGGTTCTCCCCCTGGACAAGGTGGAGCCGTTGATGGTGAGGGGCGGAAGGGTGATTGGAGCGGGTGGCCTCCCCGAGGTACGGATGCGCTGCTCAGAGCTCTGCATGGAGGATCAGGTCCCCCCCCTCAGGCAGCTGAGGTTGCTTTTTGGCGCGCAGCAAAGGGTGATGCAGCAGCAGGAGAAGTGGTCGGATGAGTGGGGAAGTGTGATTGACTGGAAGAGGGTCATCAGGGTGCGGGACTCCGCAGTGCTTCCGAACCGAGCCCGGGATGTTCTGCTTCGCCTGCATTGTCGTAATCTCCAAGTCGGGGTGCGGCTAAAATTCCTGGAGGGGATGGCATGCCCGCACTGTGGGGAGGAGGAGACAGCGGAGCACTGTTTGTTCAGCTGCCCTAGGATTCAGCCAGTGGTGCGGGGGCTGCTAAAGGCTCTTCAGATCATCAACCCGGGCAGGAAAATCACTTCGTTGGGGGACTTACTGTTTCAGAAGGAAGGCTCGAGCTCGGGCTTCCCGGAATCCACAATCGCAGCCATCGCTTTGCATAAGATATGGGTGGAAAGGTGTGACGCGGCGTTTGAGAGAGGGCGGTTTCGGTCCAGGAGGGTATTACGAATGATTGCAGCCGCTTTCTACACCTACACAAGGATCTATCTTCGGGCGAAGAAGAGGAGTAAACGGGCAGGAGTTATGCTGGGGCCGGGGCAACGTTCCATCCTGGAACGGTTGGATCCGGACGAATTTCGGCTGGTAAGCAGAGTCTGTGACAGCTCGGCAAAATCGCTTGCGTGGACCGGTGGCTTCACCTCCATCTGTGCCAATCCACGCACGTTTTTCCATCCCCCTTAAGTTGTCAGGATGGGTACGACGGCAGGGTGTTGTCTAGGCCCATCAGCTACAGTTACGACTGTTAATGCTTGTATGCGCTGTTATAGTGTAACTTGCATTGCCAAAAAAAAAAACAATCTGTATTTGTGGACTCAAAAGGGGAAACGGAGAAATAATATGCCCCAAGGTATTGGACGCGAGCGCGGAGCGATGTGCTGTCAAAACCACTTCCCATTGGAATTGGAAACTAGAAAACACGGCGCTCCATCATTTCCTCCATGTGGTCAACCTTACCCTGACCTGACCTTCCAGTCAACTGCACGCAACAAACGAGCCAAGCCCGATTGACTGCTCCTGCTTCTGCCCCTGCAGCAGCTGCTGCTGCAGCAGCAGCTGTTTCGCTTGACTGAGCAATAAATTGCCAGAAATACGTCCCCCTCGCTATCAATAATTCGTTTCTGTTGCAAGTCTTTCAGCGCATCGTCTCGTCCCTCAGCCAGTTGAACACGCGCCCGCTGTTGTGATTGGACTTCACCAACGTGACGCAGACATTATTCCAGTCCCCACAGCTAGAGCAGCTGCTCCGTTCGCGAGGCGATTGACTAAATAGAAAAATTAGAGAAGCCGTTCGCGACTCACTGATTTAGGGCGAGGTGACTTTCTAACCGACAGATAATTTTCCGTCAAATTGGCTCCATGGTTGATTCACTTCGTTCCTCTTCCTCTCACAGACACTCATCGCCCACGAGCGCCTTTTCCTTCCACCGCACAGCACCCATTACAACCGGCTCCAACGACGTGACTCCGACGATGACTTCCTGCCTCCGACGCAACTCGCAAGAGAACGCCTGGACGCAGCAACAACCGCAGCCGCCATCGCAAGCGTCGCATCCGCCGTCGCATTCGTCGCAAACGGATCGCACGGCAGCCAAAACAGTCGCACGCGGTGCTCCGCGACCGTTCGCGACGACTACGCGATCGTCCGCGTGGCCCCACTCCCCGCCTCTCAAGGCGAAAACGACGAATCACCTGTCTGCAGCCGATTTTCTCCACCTGCTGAGTCCCAACGTCGCAATCTCCACCCTTGGATCAAATCCCGCCGCTTCACGAGGGCCGTACACGTGTCGCAAGTGCGAGCAGCGCTACCCCTCGCTGCACGCACTCAGTCTTCATCACAAGAACGCCCACGCGTCGCCAGGCTTCGAAGGCGCCGTTGGTATCGCCGTTGAAGGCGCCGCTGATTGCGGCGTCCGAGGCGCCAGTTCAGCGAATAAACGCAATGCCAGATATGAAACCCTTTCTCCAGCAGTGACGGCGGCGACAGCGGTTGCGAGGACAGCGAAGGCGAAGGCGACGGCGGCGACATCGGCAGCGATCACCGTGAAGACGACGGCGACGCCAGCTGCGAAAGCCAGTGCACTGAAGGCAACTGCGATGCGACTAGCGACACGCGAAGATGGAGGTGCTCCGAGCCGCTCCACAGAGAAGCACTCGAATATCGTCGACGCGCTCCGAGCGCGTAAGTCCCGGCTACCAGCTGCGCAGGCTGCGCCGCCGGCTGCGGCGACGGCTGCGGCGACGGTAGCGCCGACGGCTGCGACGACGGTTGTGGCGGCGGGAACGGTTGCGACGGAAGAAGCACCGGCGGGGATTCCGCGATGCGGGAAGCGAGCTCGCGACAATCGCAACGAGAAGGTTCCTGGAGCTTTCGCGTACGCCGTCAACCCTTCTTCTCGCGCCGCTAAAAGAGTCGCGCGTCGGTTCTACGCCTTAATCGACGCCGCAACTGCCGCCGCAACAGACGCTGACGAATTCGCTGAAGCTCCCATACTGGAATCGTCGTTTGTGGAACGTGCGCTCCTGCCACGTGTCACAAGCCCCGCGGCTTGCGCCGCGGATATCGCCGTCGACGCAGCAGCAGCTCTGGTGGAGCTTAAAACCACAAGTAACGCATCAGCTCCTCCCTCCCCCGTTTCTCTCGCCTCCACCGTTTCCCGCGCGGTTTCTGCCACTGCTCAAGTTCCTCCCACTAGTTCACCCCCTGCTGCTTCCGCCTCCGCCGCCGCCCCTGCTAGGGGGCGCGCAGACTTTCGTGTGTCGTCGTCGCCCGCGTCTCCCGCGACGTCAGCAGTCACGGGAACCCCCCGCATTGCTGCGGCCGCTTCGCACGCGCGGTGCAATGTCGGAAGGTTCCCTGTGTCCGCTCAGCCTGAGAGAATCGACACTTCTGCCACGCACTCTCTCAACTCCGCAGCTGCGCCGCTCGCGCTTCAGCTCTCAGCCGCCGCGTATGCCCTCCGGGCCTCTGCTTCGGCAACCAGACCTGCAGGCTCGGCAGCAGCTGCAGCTTCGGAAGCAGCGGGAGGGGGGGAGACTGAGCTTCGGAACACTCTGATTGCGACTCTGCTGGACAGATTGAGTCAGCTGGCAACAATGTTACCACAAACACCAGCGTCCAAGTTTCAAGTGGAGCAGACGCAACAAGAGCAACAGATGCAGCAGCAGCAGGATGAGACAATCCCAGAGGCCCAGGGATTGCCAGAAACTATATTGCAGCTTCAGCCTCCAGGTCTCGCGGATGCTTCTTCCGATAATTACACTGCGAATAGCACTGACAATTTTGCAGAAAATAGCGCCATGCATCGTGGCGGGGAGTGGGTGCGAGCCGCCTCTAGCTCTTCAGCCACCTTTCCCTCGTCGGGGAGTGAGACTCGCGGCAATCTCGAGGGTCATGGAAGTATGGATTATGGGCTAGATTTGGAACTGCGTCTATGAGCAGGAACGCGTATGGTCACTTTAGTGTAGCATTGATAGTAGCCTAGAGTTGTTATGGATCACGCCCACAAGTTACTGCTGTCTGGCCCAGGGCTCTTGCTAGGATTTAGGCCTCTCTGAAAAAAAACAAGAGGCGACGAAATCGTCTTTAAGGTTGCGAAGCATTTTGCAAAAGTACATTAACCTTTAAAGCTAATAGAGTGTACAAAACTTGAACATTCCAACAAAGCTATCCAAGAACAGCATAAGATCGAGCCTGCGGGAATCGAACTGGAAACCTTACGGCTTTCCGCCGACTTTCTTAAAACTTATTTGATCAATTTCTGTGCGACAAAATTTGAACTGCTCTAGGGTTTCAATTGTCAGAATCCCAACCACTAGACCATTGGGATAAAAGTGCTTGTTAAGTAGCGGGTCAGTGCGCCCATAACCCTCCAGGACAACGAGCCTGTAACCCTTCCCTAGGATCAATCGGGAATCACCAGTGGACCTCTGACACCCCCCCACACTGGGATGCCCGAAGTGCACACACTGGGATTCGAACCCGAGACCTTCACTTTGATATCATGTCAAAATCTCAACCACTAGACCATTGGGATAAAAGGGTTTGTTAAATAACGGGTCAGTGCGCCCATAACCCCCCAGGACAACGAGCCTGTAACCCTTCCCTAGGATCAATCGGGGATCACCAGTGGATCTCTGACATCAATGTCCCTTTTCTTCTTTGTCTCTCCCACTAGTTAGTGGAGCCCAGTTCTTCATATCAGCGCGGTACTCACGCTCCATCTGCTGCTATCTCCTAAAGGTGGGAAGACTTCTAGCTATTAAGTAGAGACTATGTTAGACGATTACAAGCTATACTAATATCTTCGTTTATTTCTGCATTTGGTTGTTTTTGTTAGAATAGTGAACGAATTAATGAGAACAGAGAAGAGAGGTTTCACTAGCAGGCAGTTGGGTACATATAGCAAACCCTAAATATGATTTTTTTTGAAAGTGTGAAACACTTTCTAAAAATAATTATTTTGAAAGCGCAGCTGACTGTAGTGAAGCAAGGCAACTGCAAATGCATATCTCCGAGTACATAACGATGGTTGGAGGCCATTTGGCCTCCACCCACGTCTTCATTTCGGAACTTTATGTCAGAAGTAGTAGGAGTACGGCCTAGGCTTAGTAGCCTAGGCCACAGTAGGACTAGTAACGAGGAGCCAAGTACGAGCTAGGAATGTGTGTAGGAACAGAATTGAGAAAGGATGATTGAACTAGCAAGCAGCAGGATACAAATAGCAAACCCTAAGGGGCTGTACTCACTATAGAGTACCCCACTGCAGGCTACACAAACAACATATTCTGACACACCCCCATAGCCAAAGTGGGGTGTAATCAGCACAATGAGCAGTCATAGCAATAGTTCATAATTATCAGCAAAGCTAGAGGCTATCACAGAGGGCAAGTGAGGAGGAGGAGGGACTATGAAAGGAGAGAAGATGGGAGGCGACGACTGAAGCTGCAGACACACGGGCAACAGAAGCGGCTGACACAGTGGCGGCTGACACAGTGGCTACCGAGACAGAGCGCCCCGGAATACTGGAGTAACTGGCTCTGCGGCTACGACGAGCGGCAGAAGCAACGAACCCACGGGCGACTGGTGCAGCAGGCTCTCAGTGGCTACCGAGACAGTGCGTCCCGGAATACAGGAGTAACAGGCTCTGCGGCTGCGACGAGCGGCAGGAGCAACGGACCACGGGCAACAGGTGCAGCAGGCTCTCTGAGCTACCAGGACAGTGCGTCCCGGACTACAGGTGCTGCGGACGACAAGACAGCAGCCTCCACTCAACCTCCCCCAACAGTCCCACACCCCTCTCACACACCCCCTGCTTCACCCCTAGCTCCACTCCCACATCACCCCCCTAGTGCCACTCCCCACGACTCCCACACCTCCACCCCCCTCAGCGGCAGCTGCAGCAGTGGGAGACGAAAAAGGAGGAGGGGAGAACCCACACCTCTCACCCCCATGCTCGCCACCCCACACCCCAGCCACCGCGGAACGCACGGTGGAATGGGAGCAATGGGCAGCACGGGGGGGGGGGGACGGGGCGGGCGTCTGCAGAGGCGGCTCGCGCGGGTCCTGGGGCGGCTGCTGCAGGTGCGGGCTGCTCCAGGGGCGGCTGCTGCAGGTGCGGGCTGCTCCAGGGGCGGCTGCTGCAGGTGCGGGCTGCTCCAGGGGCGGCTGCTGCAGGTGCGGGCTGCTCCAGGGGCGGCTGCTGCAGGTGCGGGCTGCTCCAGGGGCGGCTGCTGCAGTGGCGGGCGGCTCCAGGGGCTGCTGCTGCAGTGGCGGGTGGCTCCAGGGGCGGCCGCCGCAGTTGAAAGGCAGAAGGGGGGGGGGGGGAAACGCACGGCCCCCAGGGCGCCCCGAGGGGCGACGAGAAGGGAGCCGCGCGGCCCCCCCCCGGGGCGCCGCGACGGGCACCAGGGAGGGCGCCGCGACGAGCCCCCAGAGCCGCCTCGACGGGCGACGGGGAGGGTGCCGCGCGGGCCCCCCGAAGTCGCCTCGACGGGCGACGGGGAGGGCGCCGCGCGGGCCCCCCGAAGTCGCCTCGACGGGCGACGGGGAGGGCCGCGCACGGCCCCCGAAGTCGCCTCGACGGGCGACGGGAGGGGACCGCGCGCGGCCCCCGTGGTCGCCACGACGGGCGACTGGTGGGGAGGCCGCGCGGGCCCCCAAGGTCGCCTCGACGGGCGACGGGAGGGGAGGCCGCGCGGTCCCCGAGGTCGCCTCGACGGGCGACGGGAGGGGAGGCCGCGCGGGTCCCCGAGGTCGCCTCGACGGGCGACGGGAGGGGAGGCCGCGCGGGTCCCCGAGAGCGCCTCGACGGGCGCGTCGACGGGAGGGGACCGCGGAGGCCCCCCCAAGGGCACCACGACGGGCGCCACGGAAGGGAAAACCGCCAGGCGCCCCGAGCGCGCGGCGGGCAGAAATTAGGGTTTCGCCGCCGCGCACCACGGGGCGCGCGGCGGACAGTACGGCAGCGGAAGCGGGTGGTGGGCCCATACACAAGAAGGCGACAGACATGCCGCCCTCTGATACCATGTCAGAAGTAGTAGGAGTACGGCCTAGGCTTAGTAGCCTAGGCCACAGTAGGACTAGTAACGAGGAGCCAAGTACGAGCTAGGAATGTGTGTAGGAACAGAATTGAGAAAGGATGATTGAACTAGCAAGCAGCAGGATACAAATAGCAAACCCTAAGGGGCTGTACTCACTATAGAGTACCCCACTGCAGGCTACACAAACAACATATTCTGACACTTTACAGTTCCGCTTCATTCTCGTCCAACCACTTCTACTCTCACTAATTCCTAATTCACACTTATTTTAGTATGGGGACAACGCTAGAACAAGTGCTGCAGCAGCAACATAACTTAGTAGCTGCTACGCGCGTTAACTGCGGAGGGTACAGCATCGCGCCCGCGATGCACTTGGCGTGCGCACAACCGAGAATGAGCTGCGCATGAAGCAACGGCCACCGGCGCATCAGTGACGAAATTGCCACGTGCGCCAGTGGCGTAAGATTTTGACGAAATCGTCACTTGCGCCAGTGGCGCGCGTGTGTGGCGAAATCGCCACTTGCGCCACTGGCGCGCGTGTGTGGCGAAATCGCCACTTGCGCCACTGGCGCGCGTGTGTGGCGAAATCTCCACTTGCGCCAGTGGCGCGCGCCTGTGGCGAAATCGCCACGGACGTGTCAGATTTATATGACATAGCTGCTGTAGGCTGTAGTGGGGTAGCACATATGGGGTACAGTTTTCTAGGGTTTGTACTTGTACCCAACTTTCCCTTAGTCAACCCCATTCCTCGACATTTCACATGGTATAGAGCGGGTTCCCTCGTGGGAACGCTTCCTAGGGCCCACCAATCGAATTTTTTTTTTCCTGCCCGGAGCGCGCTTCGCTCCTGCCCGAGTCGCGCCCCGCGTGCCCTCCCTACCGTCGCGCCCTCTCTAGGCCCCTTACGGCCCCTTCGCGTCGCCCTTAGCGGCTCCTCTGACGGCCCTTCCAGCCGCCCTTACGGCCTCTCGTGCCGCCCTTACGGCCCCTCGCGCCGCCCTTCCGGCCCCTCGCGCCGCCCTTACGGCCCCCTACGGCCCGTCGCCGCCCTTCGCGGCCCCTCGAGCCGCCCTTCACGGCCCGTCGCCGCCCTCCGCGGCCACCCGCGGCCCCTTCACGGCCGGTCGCCGCCCTTCGCGGCCCCTCGCGCCGCCCTTCACGGCCCGTCGCCGCCCTCCGCGGCCACTCGCGCCCCCCCCCCCCCTTCACGGCCGGTCGCCGCCCTCCGCGGCCCCTCGTGCTGCCCTTCACGGCCCGTCCGCCGCCCTTCGCGGCCTCTCTCGGCCCGCCGTCGCCGCCTCTACAGCAGCAGCAGCTGCAGTCGCTACAGCGGCCGCGGTCGCCGTCCCAGCAGCAGCAGCATCCGCCGCCCCAGCAGCAGCACCCGCCGCCACTGCAACCGCGGCCGCCGCCGTCCCTGCAGGAGCGGCCGCCGCCGCCCCTGCAGCAGCAACTGCCGCCGCCGCTGCAGCAGCGGCCGCCGCCGTCCTGTGAGCAGCAGCCGCCGCTGCCCCTGCAGCAGCCGATCCGCCCGAGCCGCCGAACCGCCCGAGCCGCCGAGCCGCCCGAGCCGCCGAGCCGCCCGAGCCGCCGAGCCGCCGAACCGCCCGAGCCGCCGAGCCACCCGAGCCGCCGAGTCGCTGAGCTGCCGAGCTGCTGGTGCTGCCGAGCCGACGAGCTGCCGAGCCGTCCGAGCCGCCCTGTCCTCTACCCTCGGTCCGTCTCGCCTGCCCGGTAAGAACAGCACCTCTACTACTGCGCTGCTCTTACCCTACTGCTAGTGCTGCCAGTCTACTGCTGTCATGGCTACCCCCAGTGTCCTCGCTTTTGACGCTGAGGGTCGGGCCATTGACTTTGACGTCTGGGTAGATGACC